ATGGCGGTTCAGCTCCCCTCGGAACCCGCAATCCGACGAAAGCTTCGGGGAAAGGCGCGCCACGCAACCATCCGAGCGCTCCGACTTGGAGGTTCATGGGTAGTTCTAAGGGTTCCTTTTAAGGGCCCCTTTAAAGGGATCTATAGGCATTCTACCAAGATATAGGATTTAGGGCCTACTTAGAGGTTTCATGGTAGCTATAAGTGGGGCTATAAGTAGGGTAACTATAGTTAAAACCTGTATTATGGGAGGTATAACCCCACTTATAACTACCCATGAACCTCTAAGTAGGCCCTAAATCCTTATCCTTATGGAATCCCTATGGATCCCTTTAACGGGACCCTCAAAGGAACCCTTATAGCTGCCCATGAACCGCCAAGTAAGGAATGTAAGACCAGAACGCCTTTGCCGGAGCCTGAAGGCATCACCCCCGGACCTGAAGGTTCCCAGAGACTCCAATACCCCTTAATTAAGGAATATTCCTTAAATTATGATAGGATCCCTAATATGATTTAAGGAATATTCCTTAATTAAGGGATATTGGAGTCTCTGGGTTTAGGGTTTAGGATTTAGGATTTAGGGTTCACTGCACAAAAACACCCCAAGGTCTCATCCTAATCTTAAGAACTCAACATCATAGTATCTCCCACAAAACATTAAAAGTTACCTACTCAATTCCCAGGAGCCCTTATACAGCCATTAAGAACCTGAGTGCATGCCGAACACCCACGAAAACCTTAGACTACATATTCCCGCTCCCCCCTCCCTCGAGTGAAAACTAAGAACCCTAAACCCTAAACCCTGAACCCTAAACCCTAAACCCTAAACCGAAGCCAAGGTTCCGGGTCTACCACTGTCGCGTTGGAGGCTCTAGCAGAGTTTGTGCCCCTGCCTGTCGCCAAGTGCTGAAGTTTGGGCTTCCGGGTTTCAGTTATCGGGTTGAGGGCTTAGGACTTGGGTGTAGATTCCTTTTCGGTTCAGGGTTCAGGATTTAGGGCTCAGGGCTTGGGCTTACGAGTCCTGATTTCTTTGGAGCTAGTAAGGGTTCCATCGCAACTACATCAGGGCTTCAATGCTTCATAAGGGTTCTACATCGGTTCCGTGTTAAGAAGCCTGACTGGGCCATGATATTCTCCCGTCCTATCTGAAACACTATGCCCCTGATCCAAGAGGTGTTGGCTGCAGCTTCGTGGGTAGTTATAAGTGTGCTTATAGGTATCAATATGGTAACTAGATTCATAACCCATCTTTGAGAACTTACAACTATAGCCCGACTTATCGTTGCTCATGAACCTCCAAGCAGGGCTGGGGTGCTTGGGATTTGTTGCATACTGAAAGGATCACGAGACTGAGTAGCCAGGGTTCCTTGAAGTGTTTCTTGGACGATTTTATGAGCAACGTCGGGGGGGAGCTTAGGGTTTTCGGGTTTATGGAAGCTCCTTTTCGTAACTGCAGACAGCTCCGAATCTTCGCTTGAGCGAGCAGCTTGACCGCTTCATCAAGCCCTGACAACCCGAAGCACAGTTCTTAGCGTTTTCTGTTTTAGGGGTTACTAGGTGTAAAAACATCAGGGGACTTGAAAACTATGGCCATAAGCCAAGTAAGTGTTCTGGGAACTACTTGGACCTTACAACTTGCAATCCCCACCATATATAAGCCGTAAACCCAGAAATTTTAAAATCCCAAACCCAGCAACAAAAACACATACATCAAATAAATCCAAAACCCTGAACCCCCTAAGCCCCGAAAGCCCTATACCCCAAAGCCCCTAAACCCTGAAGCCTTAAGCTGTACAGAAGCACTACAGCAACCCCACAATTAATCCCGCTTATAGTAATCTTTCTGGAAGCTTCAACCAGAGAGCCAAATGCGTCCGAAACTACTAAGGCCGAAATGTTATGCTATAACTTTAACGTGCATTCCGTAATGAACTCAGGGGTATTGTGCTTCCCGGGAACTTGGAGGGTCGGGGGACTTACTAACTGGTTATTTTGGGGACCTATAAGTACCGTAACCCCAATTAGGGTCCCTTTTAGGGTACTTATAAGTCTACTTACTACCTACTTACTAAGTCCCCCGACCCTCCAAGAAGTCTGCAAAGAAGCAAAGCGAGCTCGGGCCGCTAAACCCTAAACGACTAAACCTTAAATCCACTCAACCTTCGTTCAATAAACCACTAAACCCTGAACCCTAAGGAACCTACCTTTTTAGGGTTCGCTAATATGATTTCTCTATATAAGTCCTTGAAAAGGTAGGTTGCTTGGGGTTAAGGTAAACCCTGAACCCCTAAACCACTAAACCCTGAAGCCTAAACCACCAAATAAACACCAAATTGCCGGCCTGAAACCAAGGCGACTTGCAAGAGAGACATTTCATAGACGTCATCCTGGCCAGATCCGCGCTCGGGCTCCTTCAAAGGATCCCGTAAAGGAACACATAGAGCTTACTGCCCCCATACAGTTACAGTCTATAATAGGGCTACAATTTAGGGCCTAGTATATCTATATTATGAAGATTATCCAACTGTTACTGAGTGGGGGCAGAACCCTTAAAGGGGATCCTTTAAGGGTTCCTTTGAGGGCTCCTTTGAGGGTTTCTTTAAGGGCTCCTCCTTCCAGGCTTCCTTTAAGGGTTGCGTATAGGGGTTGGGGCTAGAATGTTTTGGGATTTAGATTTTAGGGACTTAAGGTTTAAAAGTTCGGGTCCAAGAGGCTCCAAAGCCCCTTAAGTAAGGAATATACCTCACGTTATCATGAAACCGAATATGTTTTAAGGTATATTCCTTAAGGAAGGGTATTGGGGTCTCTGAGTTCGTGAACCCTAAACCCTGAACCCAAACCCTGAACATCCCTGAACCCCTAAACCCCTAAACCCTGAACCTTGGAGATTGCGAAGATCTTGCGTTAAAGTTGGAGCTTGCGGAGCTTCCAGGTCAGAGGGACTCAAAGGTATGTTAAGGGCTTCTTTAAGGGTTCTCTTGGGGGTTTAGAGGGTTTTGAATTCAAGGGATTTGGGCTTTCTTCGCTTCTAGATTTCAGGGTTTGTGGCTTCGGAGATTTAGGTCAAGCTTCGGGCTTGCAGGGCCCGGGTGTTGCGGCTTGGGATGAGGGCTTGGGATTCAGGGCTTGGGGTTTAGGGTTCAGGGTTCAGGATTTTCCGGCTGATGTGCGCCCTAGGGTGTGTGCTCTAGCAGCATCTAGCATTTAGGGATCAAGAAGGACAGCTCCATGCTGTTTTCAAGTCCATACGATGGGAAACGTTTAGTTGACCAGAGAGCAGGTGTCACAAAGAGAGTCTGGCTTCAAAAAACCCTGTAGCTGACTGAGGGAGGAACTACAGATGACGAAGTACCACATGTCGTAGCCAGAAGCACCAGGTATGGCGCGGCTAGTGCCATTCGGTACATGGTTCGGTATCAGAAGCACGGCAAAGGGGCATCGCTCGTGCTGACAACTGCCACAGTCATCGGGCCAGAACGTGCGTTCCGTAAAACAAGGCGGCGAAACAGACAAGGTTGAGGGTTGAGAGTTCAGGATGCAGTAACCGTTCCACCGGAGATATAGCAGCAACAGTCTACCGCAGAGTCCGATGATCTTATTAACATGCCGAAACCGCACTGCTTGTGCCGACCAATGCTTGACACAGAAGACCAGTGACCAGTCACACTATAGAAAAAATGTCGCACTCCAAGTTGCATTGCATTGCCTCGCCCGTTCTTCGCTATCCGACATCCGACCATGATCACCGCCGAATCAACACTCTCATCTCCAACACTTTCGGACAATCATCAACCATTGTCGTCGGAGTTAAAGCTACTTTGACCAACGGCGAGGCGTGTTGCAACAACATCAGCATGAATTTTGCCAGCGTGAGGTCGGGAGCACGAGGATACCTAAACCCTAAACCCGCGATGGGGTTTGCACACTGACGCACTTCGATCAAGGACACTTTGCAACTTGATCGGGTGAGGAAACTATGTACAGAGGCAACATTGCAGCTAGCACCATCTTGATGCGGCAATCTTGCCGGCTTCGGAAGGTCAGTTTGCGTGATCTGAACCGGCATGGGTACCGCGACGATGTCTCTAAACTCTAAGCCTTATGCGGCAAACTAAACGTTTGCACAATCAGAATGCGCAGAACGACGATTGCAACGCCTAAGACGAGCGATAATCATATTCATACTTAGCCTAACGACCATGATCAAAATGATAACGCCTTCGATAGGGACTGTGGTGACGATGACTACAGTGATGCTGTTGATTTGGATGATGACGATGCTGGTAGCGCAATGACAGTAACGATGCCAATGACAACAGGACAAGAGTCATCATAACTCCGATGAAGATCAGGATGGCCATGTTTCTGGTGCTTATGCCTTCCATGCCGGACAGGTGACGAACACCGATGAAGGTCCGAAGACTCCATGCTAGTCAGAGCCTTGTACAGTTGCGCTTCAGACGAGCATCAGGAAATCGGAGATTCGCGTCCTGGCGGAGGTGACATGTTCCGGGTGGGACGCAGCTCACAAACTAGCTTGAAGCTTAGACTTGCAAGTCAGACGGGGCATCACAAGCAGCATCTAGCACCTCATAACTCCAAGCAGATACATGAATTTCCACCCACTCACATCCGACACTCCAGTGAGGCTGCAAACGTTCACTGCCCGAGGTCACGATTTTTCTTGGTCCGGATATGCGATCACAGAGACGTTCCATGGCATCAGACCCGGTACATCGTCGCACGCTTCCCTCCAGGATGTGTGGGCGAGAGCGATATCACAATCATCTAACGTCAGGGGTCTCCCATGAAGATGTATCAAAGGATCATGGGACTTTGTAAATTCTCAATTACGGAATAGGCTTGTAAATGACTTCACGTACAAGAACTTATGAACACAATGAGAGCACCGACAACTTTACTCGTTAAGTCTCACGATCCTCCGAGTATTGGCGGCGCGGCTTTGAAAACTCCTGGAAGATCACACCTTGTGCGTAAACCTCAGACGTCTACAATTTTGTAGCGCTCCTGACCCCACCAGTCGGGAAGGTCGTCACGACCCTTCGTGTTACTAGCATCAACCACCCTGTCGGGGTTCATCCGAATGTAGCGGTTGTGCGCTTCGTTGTGGAAAGCGAAGTAACCGTCGCCAGCCTCCACTGGCCGGAACATCATCCAAGAATCTCCCTCCCAGAGCTGGTCAACTTTCCTCTCTTCGCTGACTCCCATGGACCCGTCGTCCTTCATCATCAAGAATCTGCTCAAATGGGTGCTGTAGAAGCCTACTTGGCCCCAATTGGCCTCCACCACTGTGAACTTCTCCCAATCCCACTTCTCGGGAAGCTTGCCATCGTCACGGCGACCGCTGGCATCAACGTGGTGGTCACCAGTCACGCGGATGAAGCGTTTGTGCTCCTTGTTGAACAAAGCGATCACGTTGTGTTGCTTCAAGGTGTCGTCCATGCAATATGCCTAGTTCATGCTCGGGATAGCATTACAAAACTACTTTTCTATTCCCTAAACCCTAAACCTTAACCCATACTTGGAGGGTCGGGGGACTTAGTAAGTAGGTAGTAAGTAGACTTATAAAAGTACCGTATAAGGGACTCTAATTGGGGTTATGGTACTTATAAGTCCCTAAAATAACCAGTTACTAAGTCCCCCGACCCTCCAAGTATTCCTGATTGGGCTTAAATACCAATAAGACGTGAAATGCTACCTAAATATGACCAAGATGCATCGGCGGTGACGATTCGGCCGCCCTGGCCGCTGTTGTGGTCGATGCCGACGTTTCGGTCCTTAGTTGTTGAGCTCATAAGCCCCAAAAAGTTCGACACGCTCAGTCCTAAACGGGGATAGCACTATCCCAAAGAGTGCAAAGTCTACTCACTCGGCAATAAACCTTAAACTGTAAACCCAGAAAGGTGTAGAACACGTACTCACATAGCTTCTAAGGGTCTCCGAGATGACAGCCGCCGTCCTTGCCGTAGTAGGTGAAATATCGGCAGCCTTTCACCTGGGTTCCCCAGTCGCCCCTAGCGTACCCAGGGTTTAGGGCGTAAAGTTTAGGGAGACCCTTCTCGCTCTAGTGGGCATTAACAAGGGAACCTAAAAGGGAAAAGTGCAGTAGGAACCTGATTTAAAAACCTTGGCCCTATAATCCCAATATATTAGGATCCATATTAAAAGAACCCTAGTAAGGATCCAATGTTTCTGAATCAAGTTCCTACATTACTGGGGAAGCTGGTCACGCGTTTGCAACGATTCCAGCAGCCCATGTACTCGGCTTCGCCACTCCTCCCCTGCCCCGACATGTCCCTGGAGATTGAGCTGGAAGGCCTGGCGCAACAAACCTGGGCTTTTGTTAAGAAGCTTAGTTTACGCTGTCATAATACATGAATCTATATTATTTACGATAGATCCCTATTATGGGAACTTGAATTGAATCCCTTAACAAGAACCCAGAAACAGGAGGTCCTGTCATGATGCCGGAATTCCTCTTCCATTTCCTGTGCGAGTCCCAGTCCTGGAGGTGGCAACCCCCGTCCTTCCAGAAGGATTTAGGGTTCAGGGTGTCGGGTTTAAGGTGCAAGTGTATGGTTGAGGCTTTATGGTCTGTGGCTTTGGGTTTAAGGTCTAAGGTCCGTCCTTCCAGAAGGAGTAGTGCCGGCAGCCACGTACGGTCTTGCAGCGCTCTCTGCAAGCGGCTGCGTTCTTCTCCCACGACTTGCCTTGGCCGGGCATGTCCGAATGTCCGTTGTTCTGCTTGTAAAACTTGTTCCAAGTAGAGCAGGGATCATCCATTGTAGCACCGTTGCTGCCATCCAAGAAGTTCAGCTTCTTGCAGAACAGAGTAAAAGCAGCCGCTACACTACCGCGGCATTTGAAGTCCCAGGGAGGGGCGCCAATGACAGCGGGCCCACCGCAGAGCATGTTGTTGGACAACGAAGCATCCACGGCTGCAGACATGCCCAAGCCGAGGGTGATCTTGATCTCGATTTTACCACGTCCCAGCGTAAGCGTTCCCCCGACGGAAACACCGGCGCGGACTCCTGCAACCCCTGGCATGTCTGGCACATAGCCAATGGTAAGGGCAACAGAAGTCTTGAAGCTGAAGTCCGGCTCATTCTGGCTCATGAGCGTTGCCAAGTCCAAGGTCGAGCCCGAGAGCAGCTTGAAGCCAGTAGCGACACCCCATGTAGATGTCTTATCCGGAAACTTCTTAGCATAACCCCCGGTGGCGGTGACTCGCCAGCTCCAGCACCACCAGCCGCTTTTGGCGATAGGTTTGCCATCCTCGTTGTTGCTTTGCTTGAGGGCAAGAGCCGTGGAGAGCACGTCGCTGGCCTCCTTGAACATGGGGTCTGTCCGCCGCTGGCCCTTGGACTTGCCCGGTCGGTAGATAAAGCTGGCAAAGTTCTCGTGGAATGCGGTGCTGCCGTTCATGGCGCCAAAAACAGAAGCCTTCAGCTGCACGAACGAGCGGTGATGCGTCTTCACAGCATGCCAAGAAGCCTGCACATCCACCAACTCGGCAGTATGACCGATGGAGGCATCCAGGATGTCAGTAAAAGACTCCACATTGCAGCCGATCATCTCGCACGTCTTCTTCCACGTGTGGGTGAAAAAGGACAGCTCCAAATCTGCGAGGTTGGCGTGGTCCTTCAAGGCCAACTCGGTGCGCTGCGCTGCTCGGTGCAACTGCACCACAGCGGCCACGGCCTCGCTCCGGCGTGCCGAAGTCCCCGAGGTCTCCTCATGATTAAAACAAGGTGCTGGGGCATGCTAGAAGAATATAAACCTTTTGTCGACTATAAACGGGTAAAGTGCTGGGGTATGTTAAAGTATATATCTTTTGTCGGCTATAAACGGGTAAAGTGCTGAGGTATGTTGAAGTATATATCTTTTGTCGACTATAAACGGGTAAAGTGCTGAGGTATGTTAAAGTATATATCTTTTGTCGACTATAAAGGGATATTGTTACCAATGCTTCCGAGCCCGTCTCCTCGACTTCGGCCTTGAGCTGCAGCAGCGCGCCTGGGGTTGGAGCCCCCTCCTGGACAACCTCCTGCTCGCCGCTGCAAAGCGGCGGCATGTGGGGAAGGCCCAGCTTTGCCAGGATAGCAAACTCCTCGTAGTGGTCATGGACTTCCTTCTCCACTTCCAGGTAGGTAGCCATACGACCGGCCGTGAACACTGTGGGGTCGGAAGTCACCGCATCCTCGAGGAGGCACGTCGTCTGCTTCATGCAAAACAGCAGCCACTCCGGGCTGTTCTGGCAAGCAGCGCCACCACGAGCCGTCAGCAACTTGTTCAGTTCCACATTCCACTCCTCCGAAATCTCGACGAGCACCTGTCCATGCGGATCTTCGATCGGTTCCGGCGAGCCAACTTTGGCCTCCATGTGGTAAAGCTCCTGGCCGAAGTATTCCGCCAAACTGACATAAGCAGCGATGGCGGTGGACACCAATGCCCCATACTCCGAATCCAGCAGCTTCTGAGCAGTCTGGACCAGCTGAGTGGAAGGGGTGAAGTTTCCGTCTCCTTTTTCCTGGCAAATGCTCCTGCCTTCCTCGTCTGGATCAGTCCATGTCTCGTTGACGAAAACGTCATCAAACTCTTCGCCGGTGAAGGGGTCCTTGCCGACGCAAGGGGCATAAGACCCCAGACAAGCTCTTACAAAAGTCGCATGGGACCCCTTTACTTCATCATTAAGCTCCCTCCATTCAGACTAAGTTGCAGCGCGAAAGGCCTCCCCAAAAAAAGCCCCCTACATTGAGCCTACACCGTCAAGCAAACACTATTTGTTGCATGTCGAACCCGATATTCCACATGTTCTGCTGATTGTGAACCCGTGGGCCAGCGTAATCTTCAAGCCAGTGCCGTCTGCTCCATTTCAAACACCGTCAACAAATCGCGCTTTTCCGTACTCGGCCCACATAGAGCCCAACACACCGCCGGCAAATTGTGTTATTTCCGCATTGGAGCTCCATGTCAACCCCAAACTGCTGCCAACAGACCGTACGTCTTCCAACAACTCGTGCTTGTTAGCACTGGGTAGCACTGGAAGCGCGCGACACCGGCAAGCAATCGAACATCTTAGCATTGGTGCACATCTGGAAAACCAGATAATATAATAAGTCTTGTGATTTTTATACCAAGGCTCCATATGCTCCATTTTGAGACCAAGACCAAGGTATTCGCAACAAAACGTACTTCTTGACACTGGGCCCCACTTGAAACCCGAGACACCGTCAACAAATCGCACTTCGTAGCACTGCGGCCCACTGGGGTTCAAGAGTCGGCAACAAATCGTACTTCGTAGAACGCAGGCCTACATGCAGCTCAAAGTACCGAGACCCGGCGGTTTTCGTTACACCCGACGACATGTGACCAGAAGGAACCACCATAACCCGGCAGTGCGAGTCATTCGGTAAGAAATACCCACCAAACCCCGGAAGATTGATTTGCTACGGCCGACGCTTGATGAACAAGAGCCACAACACCCCGGCAATACGATTTGTTGCGGCCGACATTTGGTCAAAAGAAGCCACCAAAAACCGATGGTGTGATGTGGTACGGCGGACGTTTGGTCAGAAGAAGCCTCCAGAAACCGGCAGTACGATTTGTTACGGCCGACGTTTGGTTAGAAGAAGCCACCAAGAACCGACGGTGTGATGTGGTACGGCGGACACTGGGGCAGAAGAAACCACCACAAACCGGCAGTACGATTTGTTACGGCCGACATTTGGTCAGAAGAAGCCACCAAGAACCGACGGTGTGATGTGGTACGGCGGACACCGGGGCAGAAGAAGCCACCACAACCCGGCAGCACGATTTGTTACCGCCGACATTTGGTCAGAAGAAGCCACCAAGAACCGACGGTGTGATGTAGTACGGCGGGCATTGGGGCAGAAGAAGCCACCAGAACCTGCCAGTACGATTTGTTACGGCCGACATTTGGGCAGAAGAAGCCACCAAAAACCGACGGTATGATGTGGTGTTGCGGACATTTGGTCAGAAGAAGCCACCACACCCCGGCAATACGATTTGTTACGGCCGACATTTGGTCAAAAGAAGCCACCAAAAACCGATGGTGTGATGTGGTACGGCGGACGTTTGGTCAGAAGAAGCCTCCAGAAACCGGCAGTACGATTGGCTACGGCCAGAAAGAGAGCCATAAACCCCGGCAGGACGATTTGCGCCGGACATCTGGTGTAGGGTACGGAGCAAGACGTGCGCAAGGCCCTACACAACTACGATAAGCCCTAAACACCCTGTCCTTGCGGCGCACCCGCCGGACTTCGAGGCGGCTCTGCCCATTGCCGCCCTCGCGGGATTGGCCGAGCATGTATTCGATCTGCTGCTCCGACAAGCGGAAGCTCTTCTGGTCGGCAGCATTCATGCGAAAGGACTGCTGCAGAGACTCTCCGACGAGGCCTTCCAAGGATCGCACCTTGGCTCCCGGCGCACCCAAAAACCATAGGAACAGCAAAGCCACGGCGACGCCCAAAGATTGCTTCATTGCGAAGGAAAGCTACACGCCTCCAAAAAGTCGCTGCAATGGCCAGGCTGATTTTGGAAGCGCAGGCCACGGCTTGGGCCATTTTACAAGGGCATGCTCAGGGATTTGCAACGGGGCTCTATAAGGATTTTAGAAGGGTTTTATAGGCATCTCTTTCAAGCTTCCTTCTTCAGGCAATGTCCACGTTCGGCTCCCTCTGCCAAGATACGCGGTTAAGGGGCCTGCACACGCAATCAAGCTTATTGCCAGAAGTACCGGAAATTGGCATCACCAAGCATGCTGACGAAGACTGGACGAATCGGCACTGAGCATTCCAAATTCTTCCCTGCCTGGGAGAAGGGCTGGCACACTCCTGACAGGGCAGACAGACAGTGTGCTCTACATTTGCTGTTGCATCCGTGAGCAGCTCTCAACATTTGCACAAGGAATTGGTTGCATGGTGGTTCTGGCACGACTTTGCCTCCCGAATGCCTCCAAGGCTCAACACCCCTCTGCTGCACCTACAGGAACCCTAAAACCCTAAAGCCCTAAACCCTAAACCCTGAACCCTAAACCCTGAACCCTAAAACCCTAAAGCGACGTGGCCTCTTCTTGCGAGCCGGCAGACTAAAAGTCCTCCCTCGCAGATCCGTCCTCCATGGGTCTCCGACTATGCTTCCAGATTGTCGGGTTTTTGGGCCTGAAAAATCCAAACTCTAAAGCCCTAAAGTCATAACCTTACCTTAACCCCAAGTAACCCACTTTTTTTGGACTTGAATAACGAAATCATTTTCGGGAAGCCTAAAAAGGTAGGCTCCTTAGGGTCCAGGTAAACCTCAATGACCTAAGCTTCATGGAGTTTGGGCTGAGGATCTCAGTCTTCAAGTTGGGGGCCTAGGGATGAGGGTCTTAGGGTTCCGGCTTTCCGTGTGAGGGCCGGGTGGGCAGTTAGGCTTCGTGGTTCAGGCTTGAGGGTTCTTTAGGGTTTAGGGTTTAGGGTTTAGAGTTTAAGGGTTCTAGGGTTCTAGGGTTCACGGCTCAGAGCTCATTCAAGGTCTCAGGGTTGATCCACCTCTGGATGGCGATGGCCATGCGGGTGGTTGTCAATAAATGGTCCCTTTTGGGGCCCCTAATGTAATACGGCACCTACTACTTAGGGTACCCAAAACAGGGACCCTAATTTTGACAACTACCCATGTATCGCTCCATACCTCAACAAACCAGTGGTTTTGGGGGTGCCCTTAGCTCGTTAGCTCCTTATTTCATAGGGATGATCATCATCCCTGGCTCCTTAGCTCCAACATCAATGGTTAGTAAACATTAATGCCTAAAGCCAAACCCCTTGCCGCCTGCAGGATTCGACATTGTCCTACATGGGGGTTTCCGGAAATGGGGGACCCTAATACAGTACCCTAATAGCAGGATCCTTATGATAAGGACCACATAATAAGGTGCCCTCTCTTTTCGGAAACTCCCACATGGGCAACATGTATAGCTTGAGATCTGAAGCTCACGGAAGCTGGAGTTCCTTCGATGGCTTGAAATCCTCAACCTTACCTTAGCAAAAGCTTACATCCCTCAAAAAAGGGCACGAAACTGTGCTTGCAGGCCTCAACCGGAGGCCAGGGAGACGTGGGTCGGAAATCTGCACCGACGTCTTCGACCTGCTCGAAGCTCGATGCATGTCGGTTCGAAGATTGCGTGTGGGGTTTAAGGTTTCGGGTTTGGGGCGTGGGCTTGTAGTGTAGCTTGGAGTTCCATGGTTCTGCAATGTTCTACTGCTTCTTATTCTATACATGACTTCAAGGGGGTCGCACTTACGAACAGCCCTCACGCATTTAGCGATGAGGCTTTCGGGTCCTGCTGATCCCCCCCAAATTCCAAACTACGCGAACCACAACCCGTCTTATTCTTAAAACCCTCTCTCAACCCTACAAAACACACTAAGCCCTATACCCCGAAACCTGAGCCCTGGCTCCTAAGTCCTCAAAGGACAAAAGTCCTAACCCAAAGCCCTGCAGGTGCAGAGCTTGAAGAATTCATTGGCAAACAAAAGTAAGGGTGCAATTACCTCAACCAACGGTTGTGAAACATCACATCTTTCAAAAGTCTACAAAGAGTAGGTTTTTGAGAAGCTCTCAATCTCAACTTGTGTCTACAGCTACTCTGCTGACCCTGGCTACGAAGCCCGCTCCTCGACCACACGTGTGCCTGAGCAGGCGGTGGTCGGGCGGCAGCCGCGAGCTGTTCCGACAAGTCTTGCGCCTCGCAGCATGGAGGCTTTTGGCTTTCTGAGTTGTTGACCCTCTAGGGCTCTAGAATGGTTTTTAAGGGATCTGTATTGTTTCATGGCGTGTAATGGAGATCGCTGAAGCTTTGGATACTAGTGTCCCCAAAGGGAAACCCACACATACATTCATCAGAACCCTGATGCACATGGGGGCCCTAGAGGAGACGGGCACTACTTGGAGGTTCATGGGAAGTTATAAGTGGTGTTATAAGTATATTAACTATATTGTAACCTTCAGGGACTTAGGACCCTACTTATGACTACCCATGAACCTCCAAATAGAAGGGTTCACCAGGATCTGAAAGGTCAATCCCCGACGGTGCAGTCCCGCAAGACTTAAGCCAAACGTAGGGGTTCAGGCTTTAAGTGGTTTAGGGATTTAGGTTAGGAGAGCTTAAGGGTTTTAGGGCTTGGAAGTACTAGCTGACATGACAGTGGTGAGGTGAAGTGCAATGCCCTGACCTGAAATATTGAATCGACTCAGCCATAGCATACCATGACAAGCTGTTGTTATATTGGAATACACTACAACATAATATGCCATAATATACTGTACTGTACCATACTATACCATACTTTACTGTATTTTCTGTACTATAATATAATATAAATTATGATAAAAAATATAATATAACATATAATATAACATATAATATAAAATATAATATAAAATATAATATAAAGTATAATAAAATATAATACAATATAACATACCATCATCTACTACAACAGGCTATACTGTCCTATAATATACGATAACAGACTATAATATACTTGTAGATTCCAGATCAGCGCCCTCCGACAGAGCCGCCGATTGCAAAGCGACCGGTGGAATCATGGAATCCGCAAAAGTGCCCAGAAGACAGGGTCTAGAGTTTAGGGTCAAAGGTTTCGGGTATAGGGGTTTAAGAGTCAGGGTTAAGGGTCCAGCGGTTTGGGTTTAAGTTTAGGGTTTAGGGCTGTCAGAAAATCACGACTGCTACGAGGACAATGGACTGCCCTGCCAAAAAATAAAAGCTGATCCCGCCAGTGCCAACACTCGGGGTCAGGCGCGGCCGCTCAGACGGAACCACCCAAGGTGCGGCTGCTGGTCTGCAATCAAACGATATTTCTGGCCTGGGAATGGTCAACCCAAGCTCGATCCCAATCTTTCACAGTCAGAGTCATCACATGAAAAATCTGCACGAACCCTTGCAACAGCGGACTGCCACTCACAACACCTTGCATGACAAACTTGGTCAGAAAACCAAAGGATCAGGTCCTCTTCCGGCCTCTTCCAGAAGTCTCGCGACAGCAACTCCAGAAGGGAAATAGCCGCCCTGGCAATGCGAGGGCTGCAGCAACAGACAGATCCAAATTAGGCCACTTTGCCCACTGTCAAGACCCTGGCGAAACACCAAGGAGTTTGACTTGAGTTTGCGGTTCTTTGATTACTTCTACGTTGAGAACGATGCGTTTCGCTGGACAGACCAACACTACGAGCGAACTTACTATTGCGACTTGGTTGCACAAGCTTGGCCTTCGCCAACACAAACACCGCATGTGCAGGCGAGCATCTCTCGCGGCAAAATAAACTCCTGAACTGTGCTTCCGACTCTCTTAGGGGTTGTAAGGAAGCGTTGTGTACACCTGTCGCATGTTCCGAGCTGTGGCAGGTTGGAGTCAGCTGTGTAAGCTGCTGCAAAAGGCTTGCGGTGTTCATTTTTGTTGAAAAAGCAGGGGTATGACCCATGTTCAAGCACCCCGCAGTGCAACTCGCTATGAGCAGAAATGCCACGAAAAGACAGCACGTTTGCCCATGTGCCACGAATCACGAGCATCACATCGTGATTCTCAGAAATGACAAGCAGTGAGACCAATTGTTTGCACCGAACTCACGGTCCAATCCAATTGGTCCAAGCACGTCACATTCCAAATCTGCCGACCCTAAACTTGATCTGCTAGCACCCTGTTCCTGAAGCTGTCTGCATCCTGCTGGTCTGCACACAATTGACAAACATCCAAGACATTTGTAAATGCTATCGCAAAGCTGTCGTCGCTGCCCGCTTGACTGAAATGTTTTCTCTGTACTTACGCGTGGGGGCTCTCAGCAACTGAAATACGACTGGAAGCCAACCCTGGCCCACACATGCTCTGGACTGTTGCCCTCGGGGCTCCAAACCTGAAACCTCAACCCTGGACCGTTGTAGCAAATCTGTTGCAGTGCTTTTTAACGCCCTCGCAATGCTCCGAAAATGTCACCTTGAGGAACCTGAAAAAGGGAATTAAAATTGAACCGTCCGGGTTGGCCTCAACGAGGCTGATTGCTTACATTCCAGGGTCTGATAAGTTTAGGGTAGTTAAATCTGAAAACGCTGCAGGGCTTTTGGAATCCGGTGATTTTACACCCCCTTACATTTTTTCAATCGTAAAACGACTCTCAACTGCAGAGTTTTCAAAATGTAAAGCTGCAAAACCCTTGCTTTCTTCAAAACAACAGTCTCTCGACAATTCGTCTGTGGAGTGTGCAGCCCGTTCTACCAGGTTTGAAAGTCGAAGACAATAGTTCGAATTGATGACACAAAAACTCTAACCAGGTTTTGCAAATGTGTAAACCTACCAGCACATGGGAAGCAGCTTGGTCAGGCTTTGAAATTGAATCCTGCCAGCACATGGACGAACCCATGTGGGCTGTACTCCGGAATTCCGCCAACATCTGGGGCAACATGTTGGCATGTTTCAGAATTCTGGCAGCATTGCCTCCGGCGTTGCAGACAATGCTGGAAACCGCAAGAAAAGGAAGCATCGAACCGCAGTTCATTTTTCTCAATAAGGTGTAGCCGCTAGACTCTACGAATTGGCGCGGTGCCGCAAGGACGGAGTCTGCACAAGCGCCGACAGCACCGGCAGTAGCAGCGCAGTACATAAGAAGTTTAGCCTCTTTAAAAAAGTGGAGAGCAACCCTCAGCTTTACATTGCGCTTTGAGTGCGGCTGTTTGGCCTGGGTAGCGGTCTCTAGGACTCTAGGGCTTGTGCTCAAGGTAGATTGAGGTAGATCAGCTTTTTGGCGGGCGTCGTGCTGGCGCTCCATTGGGCCGCAGCTGATTGTCGGAATGCCCATCGTGCCGCCAAATCATCCAGGTACTGTCGCCAGGCTGTGCCGTCCTCCATATACTCCGCATGACATAAGAATCGCCAATCGCGCTGGTACCAGCGGTCATTCAGATTGCGGATGCGGAAATAAATAAGTTGGAGCTTATCCTTATGTATTGAGAAAGCAGCTGGTTACCAGCAAATGGATTGTCAAAACCAGGTGCCAGTCCTTCCACAGCCCAATTAATCCTGCTTTGGGAACCACATGTAAATTGGCTGCCGTCTGGACAGCCAAAGGGAAAGCTTTCCTTTCAGATCCAGCTCTTCCGACTAACTAACCTCGATGCTGACCCTCTCCAGAGCACTCGTTAACAATCCCGCCGGCTGCAATGGCAGTGAGAAGACTTTTCAAGTTCCAAGCAAGCTGCGTTACGGGCAAATAAATGCGGAACTGTTTTCTGTAGACGGAGAGATGCGCAAAGTTGGCCGTTATCAGCTGTGGATGGTGCATCGCAACAACGGCCTCTCAATCGTTTGTCGACCTGCTAAAGCAAACAGCTGGGAGGCCGGAAAAGACACCAAGATACGTCTTCCAATGCAAGTAGCTTTATTCTCCGTACTGCAGAAGAGCTTGCACCAAAAGTGCTTCGCAAGAAACGAACTGTGTGTAGACAACTCTGCTTAGGTAAGAAGCCACCATCAGCAGGCAAGCAATTTGGACCAAGAAAGATAAACAAGGCGACTGTAACGAGGAGCTTGCGGCACATGCGCCACGCTTCAAGCAGCGCAGACGCAGAGCTTTGTGAAGTTGAAAACTTTCGGCTTGAACAAAGCGCCTGCACAATTCGTTCATTCAGCATGGTTTTTACAGGGGAGGCCCGCTCAAGCGAAGCCAGAATTGCTGGACTTTTCCAGCCCTACATTTGGAGTCGCGAAGCTTGCGATTTTCACCAACAGTGCAAAGCCTCTCGAACCGTCATTTGTGGGGTTTCGAGACAGAAACTGAAGCCTTCCAAAGCCTCCCTCGTGGGTTCGGAGCTTACAATCTCACCGTAGTCTCTGCACTCTTCTGGTCTTGTAGTTCCTGCAGCTTGCAGCTGTCCCTGCTATCTTGTGCTTCACGTTGGTAGATTTCTCGGCTTGCGCGTGTCATGCTTGCGCAGGGGCCATGCTAATCTTCTCTATCTCGTTCCTCCACCTCGGAAAGCACACGGCAAACGAGAGTGCCTCAACTGCTGAAGCAGTGCGAGCTTCGCGAGAACATGCTTTGATTCATGCATGCTTTCACTGAAGAAGTGTTGACACCGTTTGGGACATGACCTGGACTACAATGCTAAAGGCAGCTCCATGCACAAAAACCGTGCATGGGTCCCGCCTCGCCGTTCATTTAAACTTTTAAAACCTAAACGGGGTGTGGGACCCGGCCCTAGAAAAATGGGACCCGGGTGGACCCAGGTGGGACCCGGATGGGACCCGGTGGGACCCGGTGGGACCCGGATTCGATCTGGCTAGCAAAGAATGGGACACGTAACCCAGATGAAACTTCTTGTGTGGGAAACATGGGACCCGGTGACACCCGGATAAGACCCGGCGAGCAAAAAAACGGGATTCGGTGACGCAGAAGGTGGGACTTGGATGGGCCCGGTGGGACCCGGTTGGGACTCCTCGCAAAAAGCGGGACCTTGTGACCGCTCAGATGATGTGGCCTCAAAACCACACGTTGAGGCTTGAGAACCACACGTTAAGTGGCTTGATGTGGCTTCAAAACCACACGTTTGTGGCTTATGTGGCTTCAAAGCCACACGTTCGTGGCCCGGATGTATTAAAGGGGTCACCAGAAGCCTCGGACCTGAACGAACACGGCGGCTGCCTTTCTTCTTTCTTTACTGCAGAGAATTCTAAGCCGGAGCTGGGTCCAAGTCCACTTGCTGGAGCTAGAAAAAGGCTTCAACAAGCTTCGATGATCTTGCAAGCTATGGCTATTGCTGACTCCATAGAGCCATAGATCTTGGCAATCCTAGACAGGAGCTTCGATGATCGTGTCGCAGCGATGCATCCTAATAAACGTCAAAGATCTCGATTGGCTTAAAAAGATCGATGAGATACCTCGATGACATTGCAAACTGACACTGATCTCCAGTGGATAAAGAAGCAGGATGAGCCCAAGAAATGATGCTGCGGACGACCCCGTTTCTGGGCCCACGAAACGAAAGCAATTCTGGCTTCGCCACAAATGGTCCTCCCCAGTTGCAAATCCGCTGGTTGTGGCATTTAAGGTGAGCGTGCAGCTGCTTTGGACAAGACTTCTGGCTTTTCAATCTGCGTCTGCATGATGCTCAAAACTGCGGGAACAAAAGCCAGGCAGGCGCACGCCCGAGATCCAGCTGGTTGGCTCCGAACATTGCGATTTGCAACAAAAAACGGAGCCGTTCTTTTGGAAGTGCATTAAATCAATATGAAAGAAACGGGCACAGAAGAGACCGTTCAAGCGAAGGTCAGAACTGCTGGGTGGACCCAGGTCGGATTCGATCTGGCAAGCAAAGAATGGAACACATGACCGAGATGAAACTTCTTGTGTGGGAAACATGGAACACTCGGACAAGCAAAAAAACGGGATTTGGTTTTGCAGAAGGTGGGACTTGGATGGGCCCGGTGGGACCCGGTTAGGACTTCTCGCAAAAGCGGGATCTTGTGACCGCTCAGAAAATGTGGTCTTAAAACTACACGTTGATGTGGCTTGAGAACAGAGGGGGGCCACTCAAGCGAAGCCAAAATTGCTAAGCTTGTTCGACCCCACATTTGGAGCCGCGTGTGCTGCAGTTGGTCCGCACCGAAAGTGGACGTCGGCGGTACTGGTGGCCGAACACGTTCCAGACACAGCAGCCAGAACACTTCCACCTTTGAGCTGCAGGCGGACTCATGGGACAAACAGGATCTGGTCCAAACAGGTCAATGTCGATGCTTTCTCAGGCACAGGTACCTTCTGGGAGAACTCTCAACTCCAACCTTGCACAGGCGAGGCCGTGGCGCTTCACAGCTCTCAGGAGTCCACTAACAAGAAAAACAGAGTGCGCAGCACTCGATCTTTTTCTTGAGCTAAAAACATTCGAAGCAAAACGAAACGAGACAAAACGAGTGCGGTCACTAACCTGATTCAGCAGTTCTTCCATTTGAGGCAGACCGAAAAACCTGTGTTGCGGGGGCGGCAGCGGCACGGGTCTGTGTTGCGCAGAGATGTGGATTTGCT